CACACCAGGAATTGCTGCAGTTATCGTGTTTGCCAAACGCGTGTGGTACGATAGAGGTGAGCCCTTCGAGTAATGAGGATGGCTGGCCCTTGTCTTGGTTAACACAGTAGGTGAAGCTCTTTTGGATGTAGGATATCACGTTAGGAGTCAACCCTTTAATCTTTCCTTTAGCCATGTATAATCTCGTTCCCAGTGTACGACTTGCATGATTCACATCACTCCATTTATCAATGTCGTAGTTAACCAGCGTTTTGAGATGGTTTTCTGTGACGCTGTCGTCATCTCCCACATAAGTCGAGTAAATCACTCCACTTTTCGGGGCGCTTGAAAAAAGCTCGACTGCTACGTTTGCCTCCATACTTTTCGAGGATCCTTCGTGGTTTTTTCGACAGTCGTGGCTTTCTGCTTCTTTATTCTTTTTCTCCGCTTCGTCACAAACCCTACACATTTTATTGCGAGTAGCATAACTAATGACTTTTCCGGTATGTAACCCCACTGCTGTGCCCACTCCTGACGACGAGTCGTGACAACGTCCTCGCTTTCTCCAGCCCATATCGTACGACACTCCGAGTTTTACTACTTCCTCATTTCCAGTCGTGGACAACCGCTTTTCTTCCTCATTAAACTGATTACAAGAATCTTTAGCCACTTCTTCTACTGCTTTTCCACTTTCTCTTTCCCGCTTTTTGAAATTGCTTGAGGAAATTGATGGTACACCAAGTGTTGTAAGAAATCCAGAGGTATGCGTATGTCCCAATCCACAATGCAGTGCACCAAGCCCAGCACGGGAATTAGCGTCGAAGGTGGGAGGGCCTCTTTTTCCAGTACGATGATGCTCGGCCGGGCGTACGATGTTAATAAACTCACATTGTGTGCATTTAACTTTTAGTACTGGACACACTCCTTCCGGGCGAACATTAAAACTATTACGTAAATCTAGGGGTCCTTGTTTACAATTCACACACTCGCTCAAAGCGGTTGTTAGCATTTCCAAATTAACCACATAACACTGATCCATGTTTACAGCTTTTGTGTACGGCAGACTTGATCTCAAGGTGGGTCCCTCCGGAACATTGTCGGCTGTATTGCCTAAACTTATTTCATTTCTAACTTTATCACTCCATCGCTGCTCTCTCATTGCCTTGCATTGTTCTTTCCTAACCGTTTTGGATCTGTAATTAGCTGGACGCCCTGGTTGAGACTGTAGCTGCTCCTCAGCATCCTGTAAACAAAATTTACTAGTTATATAACAAATCACTGACAAATGGAGACCCTCATTGAAATAATGTAGAAAATCGTTATGAAAACATCCATACCTGTGATTCACTTCGTCTAGCCTTCTTTCCTACGGCCACGTTGTTCTGCAGAACAGCAGTTTTCCTTTTTCTAGTCAGAGATTCTCTCGGCATTGCTGCATTACCGAACAATTGCGTGACTAATGCTAAAATTTCAGTTCATATTAGCATGCTTCGGAAAAATATCCGAAAGTAGTCGAGCTTTCTCTTTAATGCAAATGCATTTTTCGCTAAAGTTGTGCACATGGATATGAGAATTTAAAACAATGTCTCTGAATAATGAGGTCGCTCACTTGTAAACACGATATGGGGAGTAACAAATTAGTACGTTTGAGGCCCAATTTTATTGACTTCCACATTTTCAATAACCTTGAAAACTGCAGGCCGTATACAATGAAAATACAACTTAGCACTGACGATTTTTTAAAAAAATCTATCGAGCAGTTTTTAAAATATTACAATATTTGTTGGCATAGACCAAATTATACGCAAAAATGACAACAAGAGCATCTGAATGCAAAGGCATCAAACCCTTTTTTCTCACAATCGGTAAGAGCAATCTCGCCAACTTTTTACATACAATTTGAAGTGGAATAAAGCAACTACGTGGTATAGCGGCATTCCCAAGGCGCATCGTTTTCTTTAGATATCACCAAATTATCTCGACAACAATGTTTTTACTGTATTTTTAACCCTCAAAACTTCATCCTCAAAATTTTCAAAAATGCTCTCATTGAATTTGTTCAAACTTGGCCAACATCTAGGCAATAACAAGAGATAAAAGCTCCAGTGAGCGATTTACGAAAAAACCTCATGGTACTGAGAAATACGAACGAAAGCAAAAACTGTCATGACGTCATTACCTTGCTATGGAAACTCCGATGTCAACATAACACCAATCACAACAAACTTTCATCTTTTTGTAATACAGCTGTGGTAATTGTTTTACCATAACGTTGCTCGTGGCGTCGTAGTTAATTTTCAAACTTGAACAGTATGACTTTTGAAAAATCCAGTCGAGCCACCTTAAGGAATTTCTGCCAATGTCCAAGTTGTATCTGGGTAGAACGAAGTGATTACTATTTCTGAGGTTATAGTGTGGATTGGCAACACTAAAGAGGTTTGCTATTTTATCTGGGGTAATATTACCATTTACTTTGTACATTAAGATGAAGAGCTTCTTCTTATATTGGTTTGATAATGGCTCCCATTCAGTACTCTCTAGGGCATCTTGATCTGATATGTTCCGTGGTAGTCTGTAGATGGTTTTAGCTACCCTTGCATATGTTCGTTTACCATTTGCTTGGTCTTTTTCCCATTCAATAATAAGTTTGAGTTACCTGACCGGTCTTCTAAGGTACATATTAGAGTGGTTTAGCAAGAGGACGGGAACGTCATTTGAGAACGGCGCACGCAGAAAAAATGCCAAGAAGAAACTGGGTCGAGAACGCCGTCGCGTTGTGTTGAAAAGTGATTTAGCAAGGGAAACGTGCAGCAAATTCTTGTTCTATCTTGAATATCAGTTGACTTTCGGTAAAATTCTCGATGTAAATTGCTAGTTAATCAGCTACAAAACAGGGCAACGAAATTAATGTTACTGTATACCACTTGTCAAACGCCGACGGGGACGACTACGGCACGAGTTACTCGCTAGGACTTTGTTTGGATACCAAATGAGGTGAATTTTAAAATTCTACTTTGACTTAAACAAAATTTGGGAGGGTAGTTTTATATTAATTTCTGTAGAATTTAGCCCATTGAATGTGTTTTTGTGAAATTTGTGTAATTGTCGTCATCTTTTCATGCGAGTTGTTTTCGTGAGAACGGCTTTCGTGATCTCTGTATTGCGACTCCTTCGTGGCTTCCCATATCACAAATCATGGCGAGTGGTGGTTTAAGCTCCGTCCGCGATGCTTTGTTAACAGCCAGCTTCTATGATATTATCGACGATGACGAATTTGTTCTTCTATATGACGCCTATTCGTCAAAACCTATTTTCCCATACTGGAAATTCCCCAGATTCAGTGTAGACGAGTGGAGCGATGTGGAGTGCAAGACCGAGCTTAGATTTGCGAAGAAACATCTGCCTGAATTATGTAAATGTTTAGAAATTCTTGAGAAAATTACATGCGTGCAAAGAACAGTGTGTGGTGGGATGGAGGGCCTGTGCATTTTATTGAAGAGGTTGGCATACCCTTGTAGTTACACAGCGAGGCCACAAGAAAACCAAAGGGTTATGTACAATGGCCACAAAAGAATACATTCCATAAAATTTCAGAGTGTTGTCATCCCAAACGGATTAATTGCAAACCTTCATGGCCCCTTTGAAGGTAAAAGACACGACAGCACAATGCTCCAACAAACAGACATTCTCAATGAGCTTCGGAGGGTGGCGTTTCATAATGGGCATCCTCTTTGTCTTTATGGTGATCCTGCATACCCTTTGGGTGTTAACCTTCAGGCCCCTTTTAAAAACATTCAACTCACTCCACAAATGGTTTTTTACAATGCGACCATGAGTGAAGTAAGAGTTGCAGTTGAGTGGCTTTTTGGTAATATTACAAACTATTTTAAGTTTATCTATTTTAAAAGCCAATTACAAATTAACATGAGTTCAGTGGGGAAATTTTACATTGTTTGTGCCCTTTTGGAAAATGCGTTGACCTGTCTGTATGGTAACATTGTGTCAGAAAAGTTTGAAGTTCAACCACCTTCTTTACAGGACTACTTCCAATAATTTGAATTCGTTTCATTTTGTATTTTGGCCAATAGAAGAGTTACAGTTATTGATGTTGGAGGGTTAAAAATTTAAAGAAAAATTGTATTAGCAATCACTTGTACATTGTTTACCTTTTTTTTTGGGCTTTCTATGAGTGCAAAGTATTGTAGATCCAAATTTGTAAAATAAGCTGATGAGTGAGAAAAATATTTTCTTCAGTAGAAATAAACATCAGCACAACCTACATGTGTGGACATTTCTGTTTACACTTAATACTTTTGTGACATTTATGCAAATTTTTGTGCCGTCATGGATTTAATCAATTAGTACACTTGCTAACTTAGGTCACGGAATTCCTTGAAAAATAATGGAAATTTTCATAGCTCAAAAGTGTATTACCCCTGGCCCCTGGTTAATGTGTACCAATTACTTTATCTGGTAAACACAACATTTGTTTTATGATTGTACACAGTGCTTTTTAATGATCAAGGTTGTAATTTTCTGTTTTATTCGTAAAATGGGCTGCTGCCCAAAAATTTTATTTAATAAATAAAGATAATCAAGATAATTGGCCTTTACAATACAAAATATACTCTATTTTATTAAAAATGTTGTTTTATATAAAAAAAATAAAAAACATACAAAACTCAGATAATGACATTGCATTCAATGCTGATGTATATCAAACCCAAACCCTTAATCTCTCTTAAACTGTTGCTGAAATGCACGTTTTTGATGCGTCAAAACTTGCATCATTTGATGCTGCAACATGGCAAATTGTTGTTGTTGTTAGCTGTGCTGTGGTTGCTGTTGCTGCATTTGTTGCAGCAGTTGTTATTGAAATAATTTCATTTGCTCATTTTGAGCTTGCATTTGAGACATAAACTGTTCAGTTTGAGCTTTTTGGGCTTCTCGTTCTTCCCTTCTTTCTTGAAGTTCTTGCTCCTTCATCTCTCGCATATTCTCTCCCTTTTCTCTCAACCACTCTATTGCCTCTCCTGATCTTCTTCTTTTTTTCTCCTTTTTCCCTTCATCCTTTCCTGTTTCTTCTTGTCTCTTTTTGGTTTGTCTGAACCTCTCCATTGCTCTCTCCTCATCTCTATTGCCTTCTTTTTCTCCCCCTCTACCAGTTTCTTGGCCTCGTCATTCTGCTCTTTTGTCTTCTCAGATTCCATCTCTAATTCCACCAGCTTTTCAGCTTCACTCATTTCTTTATCTCCACCACCACTCTCTCTCTCCTCTTGTCTAACTTTTATTCGCCATTTCTTTGCCAGAATATTGAAGCGGTCTCTCACCGACCGTGAAATGACAGGCATACGTTCTACCACAAGGGAAGAGGCAGCAACCTGCCATAATTCTCCTTTCTCCCTGGATCCTGCCCTACTATTGATAAAAACACCCTCGGCTGCCACAGCTCTCAAGAGTTTGACATCTTTCTCTTCATTCCACACCATTATAGATCTAATAACAATCATAAACAAAAACTTCTGAGAAAAGTGGCTATATAAACAAATATTGTCTTAACCTAACATATAGTCACTTGAAAATAGGAGGTACAATCATTCACTTAACCTATTTTTTAAACGAGAAAAACAGCTTATTTTTGTCTTTAGAACTACAACCGCACAGCCAGTGTAACAGATATGATTAGAGAACTAGGATGGGTCACATAAGAAAAAAGACTGATGAAGAACAGACTAACACAAATATGTAAAATCAGGTATAATCTTCCTGACATTAAATCAGAAAAATATTTAAGATTTTGTGATGAGACCTGTACATGTGTTAGCTGTATAACAAAATATAACATTCCAACAAAGCTAAAACAACAAAATATTCTGCCAAAGTACTCCTATTATCAAATACTGTATCATCTGGTAAAACACATGGCTAATTTGCATAATTTTATATATTTTAATTTCTTCGCGTTCAAAATTGCACTTAAAAAAGGTTTAAACTTATTTACAAGACATTAAATTTCATCCTCACTTTTTCTTTAGACCAGGGCTTTCTGAGCTGCTTTCGTCCATTGTAAAAATAACAATAACCACTGAAAAAAATGTTGCATCGATTTTATTGTATCGACTGCTCAACTTGCTCATGCTGTTTATACTAAAACACGATAAATTGCAAAGATATTGTTCTAAGATTTGTCAGAGTACCCTTATAAGATGAAAAACTGTGGAAGAGAAGAACCCATACATCGGGAAAAAAAACCATCTAAGAGGCCTGATACTAATTATGGGTTGTTAATTAATCGAAACTTCCGATCACATCCGTACGAAGAACCTGGCTCGTGTATCAGAGCACTTTTGACATCACGTCCAGAAAAAAACTACAGTGAGAAACACCTATCCTGGAAAATTATTTTTCGATAATTTTATGAGATTCTCTTACTTTTGAAACCTGTTTGATGAAGGCAAATCCAAGGTGTCTTGATCAGGACGGGAAGACCTACCAAATGCCGTCCTAAACTTGTTGCGAGACCGGCAACGCCATCGCCGGAAGTCGTATTAGACTCGTGTCCAGACTATCCACGCGCTTTCCCGAAATGACGTTTCTGAAATGACGTTCCCGTCCTCTTGCTAAACCACTCTATTGTGTTGTTTAACTCCGCGGTAGCTATGTCAAGTTTTGAAGGGATGCAGTGGGTAATAAGAGTCGTATCATCCGCGGACTGAAATGGGGCGCAATCATGAACTTCATCATGATCATTTACATATAATTTAAACAATACTGGGCCCAAGATGGATCCCAGTGGTACTCCAAATTTGGTATCAATGAGTTCAGATGTTTTGTCATCGACTTGTAGCTCAAAACCCACTGTAGGAAGTGGTTAGAGAACTTCATGTTATACAATTTTTATAAGATCTTGAGAAGATTGACCGTGCCAAAGGCCTTTAAGAAATCTGCACATATAGCCATGGTCAGCTAGCCCTTCTTCATCGCTTGGATGATGTCATCTCTGAAGTGCATCAATATTGAGGTGGTAGAACGTTCATACACCTTGGGAAGCACAGAAATGATGGTTATTGGTCTGTATTCATCACACTCCTTTGGGTTCTCTACTTTAGGAACAGGAGATATTCTGGACTATTTCCATGCAGTGGGAAAAGTGTTCTGAGTAATACATTCGTTTATGATGTGCGTTATTATAATTTTGACTCAAGAATCTGTTTATTACGTCAAAATACATTTTGAGAACAGAATACATTGAGTATGTTTTCTAATAAATTATACTAGAACAACATATGCCCAAAATATTTCTCTTGGAGGACTTCTTACACTATTCCTCATTTAAAGTGAATCAGTGTCGGCAACAAAAAAATTTAATGCAGTTGCAAAGGTTTTGTTGGCTTTAACTTGTTGCTCCAAAAGATGAATTTGCAATTTCAATTTCTGTTTTTTAAGAATCAAAGTTTCCTTCTGAGTACACAGGCATTCATCAGAACATCATCATTAATTATTCTTTTTGCAGGCTTCTTCCGTTCATCAGCCTGGCTGGTGAAGAATGCACGTCTTCATTGATGCTCAAACAGTCTCCTTCAATCACAATCTTCGCAGAATCTGCTGGTAAACGAGCATCTATTCCCATATAATATTTCAAGCGCAATGAAGGTTTCACTGAGGCTCAAAAAGTGTGAATTTAGTTTTATACATCACATAAATGAAACAACAGAGGGAGCATCTCTCCCACAAGGAATCCTTAGCTTAATCATGTAAAAAAAAAAATTTGCGTCAAAACGAGCTAATAAAAATTGGTTATTTATAAATAGCCGTTCGTAAATATTTGAAGAACACTTCTTAGTGTAAGATAAATAAAGAAA